CCCCCCCCCCGCTTCTTTGAAGCAGTTTCTTCCTGTGCTGGTGGAGGAGCGAGAGAGCGACTGAGAGAGCTGACCCAGAGAGAAGGACAGGCTTCGGTTGCTTCCTCCCTCCCCTTCTTTCATTTGTGTCCTTGATCCCCGATCCCAGCAGCATTCACCGAAGGCTTCTTAACATTATATCGGCGTATAACACGCATACATCATTTGCCCCCTATTTTCAGGGGGAAAAAAGTGCGTGTTATACGCCGATAAATACGGTAGTTCAATATTGTTGCCCTGTCATCCCCTCCCCACACCCCCTGCCCCCCCCAAAAGTTTTAAAACTGACATTATACATATAAAGAAAACTTACCAGGTTCTACAAATCCAGCAAGGCAAGTGAACATGCCTGGGGGAAATCTTTTTTTTCTTCCCAAAAGGCAGTGATTGCCTTCTGGATGAATGACTTGCATTATTACTACAGGATCTAGAAACAGAAATTAAGGAGAGGTATAAATATTTAAATCCCTTTTACAAAAACCAGCAAGGAGCATAGGCCTATCTGTTCTTATTTAGCATTGCTATCTCCTTTTAATGCTTGAATCAGTTCTCACAAGAAGCCCTGTAGATAGGCAAACTTACTGCAGGATTTTTTAAAGAAAAAAACACATGTTTTTTTAAAAACATTGATGCCTTCTGGGAATGTACCTACCGAGGCCAAAAGCAAAATTTCAGGAGGGAAATTTCCTGAGCTGCTGCATGATTTTGATAAAAACACTGGAATAAGTGACCCAGTTATATATATCAGCAATTTAATCAGCAGGAATTTTTGCTTTCAGCAATTTCCAGTTATTGACAAATGGTTTGGTGACAATGTTTTGATTTCCAAATGCAATGTTTAAAGGACAATAAGATTTAGTTAGTATATGATAATTTGTAGTTTTCCCTTAATTATAATTTTAATCAGACCACTCTTTGGACATTAATTATTGAAGCAAAACGGCAACATGTAGATGGTCTGTTAATAACAAAAAGAAGAAAATAATGGAAAAAAACATGGCAACCTGCTTGTTTCTATAGACAGAAACACAACAGATTTGGTAGAATCCAAAAACAACTGGCTGAAAACACACGACTTAAATCAGAGCTGCTGCACTTCTATTACTGTAGCCCTTCCAGGAATATTATTTTCTAAAACATGCTACATATAACAGCTCTGCATTGTATCATCATTTTTTTCTCCTTAGTTCCTCCCATTCTATCTTCTCCCCACTTTTTCCTCTCTTCTTCCAACAATCTTTTCCCACAATCTTAATACCTGCGTTTGCTACATTGTCCTGTCTCTTTTACTGCATTTTGACATTTTCATTCAGAAAGATGTCTTCCCAAAAAATTAAAAAAGAGATTGAAAGAAATTTCAACCAGTGATCCCTACATAGACCATTCCTTTTGTCCACTCTTTCTTTTGCCTATCTGTAGGATTTGCAGGTGTGGTAAAAGAAAACAGACAAAAGGTATGTTTTAAAAAATGTGTCTCAGAACTTGCATTTTTAATGATTTTTTTTAAAAGTATAGATAAGCAACCCAGTTCCTTCATACTTTTATATTCAATATTCTCGTTTCACTTTTCCCCCTTTTTGTTGGCTTCTCATCTTATCCTCTCAAACTGACACATGTAACAATCCCATCAGGTAAATATGCTTCAAAGACTGATGACCTGTGGCAAATTTATATGCTGCAAAGTATTGAGCAGGAGTTTCAAATTTTGCTGACTACTTGTTTTGTTAAAGAAATTTTATTGGAATTACCAACTGTTGACTCAGCGATCTTGCATATCTCATCCTGATCACATTTTTATTTTGATATATAATAGATATTTACTCTTACTTTCAACTAACTTGTAGGAAATGTAAAGAATGTGCACCAACCAAGATCCAAAAGGAAAAGAAAAAGAAAAGGAACACATTTATAATACATTTTGCGAATGAGATGAAGTAGTTAACAAAAAATAAACAGAAAATTAATATTAAGCAGATATATAAAACTGATCTAAATAAAGATATAAATGTATATTTTAAAATGAACTGCAAATAAATATGTAAGGATGAAAACAAGCCAGGTAATACAGTATATAGTAGAATGATTATTTAAATACTTTAAACCAACAGAACTCTTTGTTGGCACTTACAACCAAGCTTAACCAAGCTTAAAAAACAGAAGTAGCCATATTCTACCCCAGTAATAGATACGCAAATTATCAGCCTTCAGTGAAGTTTATTTATTTATTTATTTATTTATTTTTGTCAATTGCTTACAAGATAATAGGTATAAGTAAAAACATAGTTATGAATACATGGATACATATAAGAAAAATAAAAAAATAAAAGAAACAATAGGACAGGGACGGTAGGCACATTGGTACGCTTATGCACACCCTCTACAGACCTCTTAAGAAAGGGGTGAGGTCAATAGTAAACAGTCTAAGGTTAAAGTTTTTGGGGTTTGGGGAAGAAACCACAGTCAGGTAGAGTATTCCAGACATTGACCACTCTGTTGCTGAAGTCGTATTTCCTGCAATCAAGTTTGGTGCGATTAACCTTGTGTTTGTATTTAGTGTTTGCTGTTGTGTTGTTATGGTTGAAGCTGAAGTATTCATTGACAGGTAGGACATTGCAATGTATGATTTTATATACTATACTTAGATCGGACTGAAGGCAGCGTAGTTCTAGGTTTTCTAGGTCTAGAATTTCGAGTCTGGTGGCATAAGGTATTTTGCAACGAGTAGAGGAGTGGAGAACTTTTCTTGTGAAATATTTCTGGACTTTCTCAACTGTGTTAATATCAGATACGTAATGTGGGTTCCAGACTGATGAGCTTTATTCTAGTATTGGTCTAGCAAATGTTTTGTATTCTCTAGTTATTAAGTCCTGGAATTGTATTTTACAATGTAATGATTCTCGGAAGTACCTGGGGTAATACTGGACATATCCACTAACTTTCCCATAACAACTAGAAAAAACATCTATAAAAATGGAAAAGCCATAACAATTTACTGAACATCCTTGGGGGCTGAGGCTAACACCCTATGAACAGCAGCCTTGGCTTTGGTTTATTCCATAGCTAAATATTTTGCCAACATGTGACTTAGAAGCATCCACACCCAAATGGTTGATGGACAACTCCACAGATAATATGTATAATCTCTGGCACATTGCATCCCACTCCTATGCACATTGCATCCCACTCCTATGCACATTGCATCCCACTCCTATGCACATTGCACTCTGGCACATTGCATTCCACTCCTTAGCAATCTCATACCGCCCCACATTAGAAGACAGCAAGCTCTCATTTTGCTATGCTTTAGGATGCTGAACAAGGTCCTCCGAATTCACCAGCTCATCACAAGATTGAAATCTCATAGGCCAGCTGGGAAAATAGCTATTCACATAACCTCTATCTAGTTTAACCCTGAGAATACTTGGAGAAAGGAATGGTCCAAGGTAACTTTTTGTGACCCTGATCATTTGTGATCCCTCTGCTAAACCACCTTATTTTGACTTGACTTGGTTTGTCTGATTGAAACTGACCAGAATTAAGTCTGATTCTGGAAAAAGTGCCTCTGCTCTGTATCAGTGGGGAAGGAAAAATTTCCCTTGTTGAGATTGTGGTGCTAATATGACAACTATTAAACATGTTATGCAAGATTGTCCACAATGTATGCTTTCTGGTTCCCTAGAACAGGGGTAGGGAAACTTGGCTCTTCTATCACTTATGGACTTCAACTCCCAGAATTCCTGAGTGAGCCATAAAAGGTTCCCCATCCCTGGCCTACTGGTTTTTCAGTTGTGGGAGAAATCAATTTTTGACTTGAATGGGACTGTTTAATATACAAATGTAGGACATATGTCCCATTCAAGTCAAAAATTGATTTCCCCCACAACTGAAAAACCAGTAGGTCAGGGATGGGGAACTTTTTATGGCTCACTCAGGAATTCTGGGAGTTGAAGTCTATAAGTGATAAAAGAGCCAAGTTTCCTTACCCCTGCCCGAGAAGATCTGCATGAAACAATGCCAGAGGCTATTGTCTGGATAGTTGAATTGTACATCTGATTTTGAGGCTATTGTTACTCTCATAGAAATTCTACTTATACAGATGGTTCTAGATTTACAACACAATTGAGAGCAAAATTTCTGTTGCAAAGTGAGACATTTGTTAAGTGAGTTTTGCCCCATTTTACGTCTTCTTTTGCCACAGTTAAGTGAATCACTGCACTTGTTAAATTAGCAATACGGTTGTTATATGAATCTGGCTTCTCCATTGACTTTGCTTGTCAGAAGGTTGCAAAAGATGATCACATGACCCTGAAACAGTGCAACCATCATAAATATGATCAGTTGTCAAATTTCTGAATTTTGAACCCATGACCATGGGGAAGCTGTAATGGTTGTAAGTATGAAAAATGATCATACTTAAGAAACCGGACCCGAAACAGGCTAAAAACGGCCGAAAAAGGGCCATGTGGCCCATTTTCTGCCAGCAGAGTGCTGCAGGAAGCCATGGAGGACAAAAACAAGGTACAGGGGGCCACGTGTGGACCCTCCTCACCCCGTTTTGGCTAGCAGGGTGCTGCAGGAGATATCCATCCTGCCCCCTGCCACGCCCACGCCACGCCACACCACATTCCACCTGCTGGCCCGCAGAGAACTTCAATGCTGATCTGGCCCTCAAAGAAATCCAGTTTAACATCCCTGCTGTAGATACAGCTGTAATTTTTAGTTTAATGCATGAGTTCAGAGACAAGTCAGAATCCATATTGCTATATATTACTCTGATTTCTTTTTAACTGCCATTAGCAAAGAAATATCAACATGCTAGCAATTCTCTTACCAACTCTTGGGAAGCATGTATTATGAATTCCCTGATGGCTGGGGCAGTCTTCTTTTAAGCATGATTTCCTGTAGCCTCCATCTTCTAATTTAGTTGCATTGCCACATGTTGGGCAAAATTGATACCGGTTATCCCATGCTAGCACAGATCTAGCCTGGGCAATGATTCCTAAAAATGGTCATATAAACATTCAGTCAATACCTAACTTCTTTTCTGCAAATACTACAACACCAACTTTTCAATGTATCACTAAAACCAATGAAAACATTAGCTTTTAATAGTTTGTGTACTGTTGGGAAGATTTTTTTTTCTTCATTACCTTTACATTTGTGACATTCCAGAACATTGAAATAGTCTAGTTCTTAAATAATAGCGTGCTAAAAATTATCAATAAAAGTGTAACCAGAACAATCCTGACATTCAGCTATTAACAAAAACATAATCCTAAACCATAAGAAAAAAATAAATAAAGAAAATTTAACGAAAGAGAAAATGATACAAGGCAAGCAATTTCTTTAAATAGATTATCAATGCCTAATTTGTAGACTTGCAAATACATTAAAAATTAAGACAATTTATTATAGTAGAGTATAATAAACACATACAGATTACATATGATAACATGAGCTAATGCTTGTTATAGGTAGTTCAGCTAGAAACAACTAAAGATGTGCATCAGAATCCCTTAAATCCTAAATCAAAACAGGGATTTTTAGACTGATTTTGCACGAAGTAAAGTGAAATACCAACAAATTGACCCAATTAGGAATGTTACAAAAGACTTTTCTTACTTTTACCCCACCACATAAGCAGAACCTTACCTGCTTCATTTTCAGAGAATTGGAGCAGTGCAGGCATTGGTGGACGAAGAAAGTAACAGCCTGGATGCTCTTGTAAAAAATTATCAACCACTGTAGAATCTATACTAAGTGCAAACCAGGTAATCAGGCCATTCTCATCTTCTTTGCCTGTATTCGGATCTTTTGCATTTATTCTTTGAGGTTCCACTCCCATAAAAATTATAGTGATAGTTTTAGTCTGCTCCAGATATGTCTTTATATCCTTATAGAAAAATTTACAAAGCTTAACCTTTGGATACTGGAAACTATGTTCATCATCATCTGATGTAACCAAAGGATTTAAATGTGAAAAAATGATATATATGGTTGTTGGTTCCTTCTGTTTCATGCTCAGCCACTTTGAATCTACTCTCTTCTCACTCTTCCTATCCAAAAATGTCCTGCAAAAATAATGCTCCTGTTCTTTGACTTGATAAGTGAAGAAAAATGGTTCCAATCCACCTTCCATATTTGCTAATAAATTGGCTATGTTTTTATAGCCCCAAAATCTAGCAATATCCAATGCAGTCTGGTTTGAAGTATTGGTTCTAAACCTGTCACACCTTTAAAACAAAAAAAAATAAATATCAAAAAGTTATTTTGGGGTAACATTTTCAGACAGAATATCATATGATATCAAGTAATATAAAAATATCCTAAACTCACAGATGATATAATATCAACACTGAACACAGTAGAGTATGTAATAGCCCAGTTAGGATTTTGAACTACCACAAGTTTTCATTGCAGAACGTAAGGAACAAGAAGATATAAAACAACAGGTAGAGAAAAGGAATGGATGATCATTAAAGAAGCAAAAACACAACTCAGTCCTTAGAAAGTAGAAAGCATTGTTGGGAATGTAAGTCACCTAACAGGTATTTGGGTTAGAAATACATAAACCAGGATAGACATTTTAATACTGTGTCTTTAAGAGAATCCTAAAAGTGTAATTGCATGTGGTTTCTCAAATGGCCGTAAGATGGACCAGAAACCTGGGTTGTCTTGGTCTTAGTCTCAGAAGAAGTCTCAGTGAGTCTCTGTTTCCCTCTGTTGGAGAGTTTTGCTATTCCTTCTAATTGACTGATATTTTTGGATTTGATGTAAGTCTGATACTGAACTGTTTTTGACACTGGACTTTGTTATTGGATTATCCCTGGACTAAAAACTGACTGACTGTGAATGATTTTGGACTGCTTATTTTGAACTTTGCTTAAAAGTTTCTAGAAGTAAAAACCTACATTTACTGTACAGTGTATCTGTGTGCTGTGTGTGTATTATTCAAACACTACTCTCAAATACGTCTCCCTGTATGCGCTCATTCTAACAGGGAATTACCTCAACAAGCATGACAAAGTAGCTGAAAATAATTCTGACAGCCTTTCAAAACTGTTAGCCTTTTGAAGTAAGCCAGGTTAACAATTAGACATGATAAGAATTCCAGGTGTAGTATCAAAACCTTCACAATCTGCTAGTTTTTTTTCGACTCCATTTTATACCAAATAAAATCAAGATTCAGGAAGTTTTGGTTTCTTTATCATGCTTTACACTTTCCCAGGACTCAATTCAGTGGTGGGATTCAATTTTTTTTTACTACCGGCTCTGTGGGTGTGGCTTGGTGGGCATGGCAGGGGAAGGATACTGTACAATCTCCAGTCAGGGGCGGTATTTGCCGGTTCTTCAAACTACTCAAAATTTCTGCTACCGGTTCTCCAGAACTGGTCAGAACCTGCTGAACACCACCTCTGACTCAATTCTATGTAAGCCCAGGTTCACATCACTCAGTCATGATTTGAACTAGTCACTATCTCAGCTTACTTCACGCTATTGCCGATAACTTAATAAAATGAGATGAAACCCAGTGTGCCTTGAATTTCCAGTGAAAAGGCAAAATATACATGTTTTTTTTTTTCATTTTAGTTGCATTTAAGGTAATTTTTGCTTTGTTCATTTTAACCGTGAATCTAAATGAATGTATTGCTCTAGCAAATAGAATAACCTCTACAGAGTAGTAACTTTCAACAAGGTGGTAACTTTAGACAAGTTGAACAATATTATTTTTCTTTTTTTCCCTTACCCCTTATCAAGAAGAACCTGCACAACATCAAAGTGACCATTTCTAGTTGCATACATTAGGGCTGTCCAACCATTCCTAGCAGTTTCATTGATAAGCGAAGGAGAACGATCCAGAAGTGCTGTAAGTCTGGCTTTGTTTCCATCAGCCGCAAGCTGGTGAAGCTCAGAAATCAGTTGCTTTTTTGGATTTCCTTCACTATCCTCCATAATCTGTTCAGTTAAAAATGTAACAGAGGCAGAAAAACTGGATCAAAGCACATTATATTTTTCTGATTTCACAGTTATAGGATAACCAAATTCAAAAGGCAATATACAATAGACCTAGCCTATAAAATGATTCACCAAAACAAGAAGCTACAAGAAAAAAAAATCAAAGTGATTCTTCTGGAATAAAGATTGCTAGTTAATGAGCGACAAACAAAAATCTAACAAAAGAAGAACTGAAAAGTACCAGTTGTAGTTTGTATTCTATTTTTAAATTACCACGTCTCTTCTTATGTAGGCTGCTTAATTTGGACTGCACTTTTGATTAATTCTTGGTTGCTGCAGTACTTCTATCAAAGATAAATCCCTTCTCTTGCTAGCTGTTAGCTCAATGTTAGGTCTCATAGCCATTATGGCTGTTCTACGTATAACTTACTAATACAGAAATAACATACTAGGACTTCATATTTCACATGGCTTAATCAGATGTAATAAAAACATTATTGCTACTTCTCTGGGACTCACATTGAAAACTGTACTTCCTCAGCACATTCAAACATCAAAATGCTTTATTCTGCTCTGCAGGAATAACAGATGTGTTTCTGAGATCAGGATGTATTGTTTTTGAAATTCCTTAGATTTTAACACATTTAGTATTGGAATAAATTCAGTAGGATACAAAGCAGTGATGGGATCAAAATATTTTACTACCAGTTCGGTGGGCATGGCATGGCGTGGCGTGCGTGGCTTGGTAGGCATGGCAGGGGAAGGATATACTGTAAAATCTCCATTCCCTCCCCACTCCTGGGGGAAGGTTACTGCAAAATCCCATTCCCCCCACCCCCCAATAACCTGCTTTCCAGCTCCATACTCCTGTGCAGGGCAACAAAAGAAGACCCAGCCAATCAGTTGGGACTCGGGAGGCAGAGAATAGATGGGGGCAGGGCCAGCCAGAGGTGGTATTTGCCGGTTCTCCGAACTACTCAAAATTTTCACTACCAGTTTTCCTGACCAGAACTGGTCAGAACCTGTTGAATACCACCTCTGATACAAAGTGATTTTATAGGATCTGCTTGATGTAAGCTAATGCCCCTTAAGCATTAGTAACAGAACCGGTTTTGTTTGGTGGTTAAAGTACTAGACTAGGAGCAAGGAGTTTTAAGTTCAAATCATGCCTTTGCCATAGATGCCAAGCAGGTGGCTTTGAGCCAATCACTTACTTTCAGTCCTAAACAAGCAGTGACAAATCAATTCCAAAATCCTTGCAAAGTCACTAAGATACAAAACTGATTCAAAGTCACCTCTCCCCCCCCCGCACCCCACCGCAACCTTGCATTGTGTCTGAAAATAAACCACACAAGGACTCAGTCCTCAAACAAACCAGGGCCTTATTTCATATGAACCAGGCTTTTAGTGAGTTTATTTGCCAGGCAGGGAGTCAGTCTGTGATTAAAAAAACTCAACTTCAAATGTTCTTGGCTGTAATAATTGAAGTTGCCTCCAAGCCTACATCCTTAGGATTTCCTCGTGGCCTCCCATCCCAGACCGATCCTTAGTTTTTCCAGGTCAAATGAGGGTCATTTCCAATCCAGAAAATGGCATTTATACATCAGCCCGACATTTTTACTTTTCTTGCCTGAAAACAATACTGGATTTCCCTCTGTAACTTTAACAAGCTTCCCCTTCGTTTTTCCATCCACCGCAAGAAACTGGGAAATGGACGCCTGGTAAAGGCTTTTGCCTGCAGGCTCAGACTTGGAGAAAGATCCACAAGGGGCCCCAGCAATAAAACTTGAGTTCGTTTTAACGGACGATGAAGAGGATCTGCGGAACTAGGGGGAAGGGGAGTGCGGTTAAGTCCAGGAAAGGAGTGGGCGGGGAAAAGCAGCCCAAGAAAGATAAAAGTCCCTCGGAGACTTTCCGTTACCTCTACTCTGCTGCGATTACCTGCACGGCGTCCTTCCGGAGACGCCTCCAGCGTCAAGCGTTGCATCCTGGGAATTGTAGTTTCTTCCTCAAAGAAATCCGTTCAGCAGCCGTACAGACAGTATTCATAATCGATTACACACAGAGACGAAGGCGGATGCTTTTATTGTGCATGGCCTCACGTTATCTAAATAATAAAATATAAATAAAATAAAGGCTTCGTTTAAAGAATTGTCCGCGGACAACAGCAGTTGGTTGGTTCGTTGTTTTGCAAATTCTTTACTTTCCCTAACAGCCTCCGATGTCCTGGTAGGTTGTATTTCTATGGAAGCATTCATCGACTTCGCTGCAAATTAATATTTATTTTGGATGATTTAACGAAAGATATGCTGAGGCTGAAATGCTTTCCTAATGAATTCATTATGAGAAGACAAGTAGAATAAACAATCGATGTGGCATGTTGTCTTCATGATAGTTTGCATATTTTCAAAAAGAAAAGACTCAGAAGCTTATTGAAAACGATAGAAAAACACACACAGAGATGTATGGGTCTTTAAGTTTTTTGCTAAATCTTTTGTTGCGTATTGGCTTCCCAGAAGCAGCAGGATTCCCACTAGATTAAATTGCATTTTCCTGTTAATTCATCGGGGATTTTCATGTTTTCCATGTGTAGATTGTGATTGATTTAAATTAATCTTATTTCAGATTACTTTATTAACTTTTAGTACTTTGAATCTGATAATTTTGGACAGCTTGGTCTCTGATCTTATATCTGGGATACAATGATTTCAATGCAACCAAATTAGATAATTATTTTCATTATTTTTTTCCCATTATTTTAAGAGAGATTTGATTTATTCAAGGCTGGGGAAAAGTGGATGCTGACTGCTAATGAAGGGTAGGGTTTTGTTCCCTTCAAATATATAAATGCTGTAGGAAGCCCCCCTCCCCCTTAAAATATTCTTTATTTTTAACATTAAAAGAGGCAGGATAGAATATTTTCCCAAAGGAGAAATAGAGAAGCATGCTCTTAAAGGCAGAAAACAGCCCCAGTCTTCCTGCTATAAGAAACAGCCTCCAGCAGATGCCTGAAGTTTTTAGAGATGGATATTTTGTGCCCAGTTTTATTCTATTAGCAAAAGCCGCTTTAAAAATATGAAAACAGCAAAAAGTTTACCTTTTAGGAAAACAGATATTTCCTGATAGATGCATTAGTCAATTGTTGACCTGTCTTTTCTAAAAGGAGCCTGAGTATTTTTTTAAAACAAAATATTCCTCCAAAATATTGCGTCTTTGGTGTCTTTTTTATTTTTAGTCCCTTTCCCCCACTTTGTAAAGCCTTATATAAACATAAATTTTACTAAATTTATGTTTATAATAGAGTGTTTATAAATCTATTTTTTTCATGAAACTTAGAGGAAACGAACCTTGGTGAGTAGTGTTTTCTGATTTGAAAAAAATCAAGTAAGATTTTCTTAAATGGTGATTAATGTGTGCCATTATACCAAACTGCTCCTACCCACATATGTTGGTTTTACAATTATCAAGAATTTCATACTAGGACTGGAATTTGGGGAGTTGAAATTTCAGTATATTTAGGAGCCATCAATTTGGGAAAGTTGTATTACCTTTTAGTATAAATGATGTCTGTAATTCTCCACAAAATCAAATTATGTTTACTTAGCTCTGGAAGAATTTCTCTGAAATCTGAGAATATTTCTGGGTTCTTAATTCCCTCTCCTAGGAGGGGTCACACTATAGATCTTGAAAGACTTTCATTTCATAAATCTCAATGTTACTTCTCCCCCTTAAATACACACAAATTAATCCAAATGAGAAATAAACACGATTACATTTAAAAAAAAAATTGTAAAAATATATCAAAGCAGAGGTGGTCAGTTGTTGAAGGAAGGTGAGACAAGAGCTTGTGTTGAAAATGACTTTCTAAATAAATGTGTATTAATATTATTTCTTATAATAACTTTTCCCTACTTAATATCCTCTAAATATGTGGGACTACATCCTCTTGTATATATTAATGTATAAAATTAATCAGATAAAGAAATATGTTAAATTCCAAATAATTTCAAATTAAGCAAAAACAGTGAAATGTCTCCTGCTTTTGCTAATTAGGCATTGTAAAGGGAATTGAAAACTAGAAGCATTACGTTGGATATACAGTATTATTTGTCAGTTTGCTGTTCCCCATAGGTTTTAATGAAACAGTAATTTTGGGGAGTGCCTGAAATCTCAGTTTGTTGTTTGCTTATGTGATAGTAAAATTTAATTATTTACCTTTATGGAGAATGTTGCAGTCATCTTCAAGGAAGAAGTTTGCAATTTGGAAGCATTCCTGGACCTGGCTTTGCTCCCAGATTTTCAGATGGAAGATGTGCCAGCAGAGTTTTTGATCAACTTAGCTTGGTGCCTCAACTGTGCCTTTGTCTGGAGAAAATGGTCTTGGACTGACATACTTACATATGCCTCAATATTTATGCTATATGATTACTACATATATGTTTTGTTTGCAGCAATGAACTGAATATGGAGCTGCTTTTGAAAAATATTCATGAGCTTTCAGCTGGTCCAAATGTAGAGATCTAATCTTAGCATGCTTCAATGCTCCTCCAACAGTAATTTTGCAGGACCAATACATAAAAGTACCCTATGAACTGAGACTATGGGCCTGTGCATAAGGGGCTGTTGAAATTATAGCATACATCCTACTAAGCTGTGTTCTTTATATTCAAGGATCCACCTCATAACACCATACTTGGTAAAAAAATAACTTGGAAAGTTCTGATCTTTTTTACGTGCAGTTGTCATCAGATCAGTATGATTCAGTCTCCTTGAATGTAGCTAAAATTTGTTGTTTGTACTGCCTCTAATATTAGGCACACTTTGATTATCCATTGACAAACCCAATACCAACTGCAATATCTTCTCCTCCTCCTCCTTTCCCCCATCATCACCATCATCACCTTTCTAATTTTTAATGAGGTCAGTGACCATAATAAAAATATTCATTTATTTTGACTAAGCTTGAATCTAGGACACGTAAAGTTCTATTTCTTCCCAAGTGATTTTTGCTGTGTTGAGACTTGCTCCTCATCACTTTCTAAGGATCTCCCTCTCCAGGACATTAATAAGTCCTGGATTTATCTTTCTTTGAAAGTAGAGCAGAAACTTTTATTCTTTCAAAACTACTGTTTGAATTTATGATGATCTACTTCATTTAGTGAAAATGCTATGACTGGCTCTCACATATAATTGTACATGTTTCTTCTGAAATTCTTTTTTGAATTTAAGACAGCTCTTTAGATGTTTGAAAACTAGTAATTAAAAACTCCATCTACAAATACACAATTTAATAGAAATGTTCTGCATTGCCAAAATATGCTTATTTGATTGTTGCTACTCAGAGGTGGTTTTAAAAAGGGTTTTAAAAAGATCATGTGGATCTCAATTGTAAAATACAATATATGGCTAAAATTTACTTTATCCATGTTATACTAAGCAGTTTCATAGCAGCATTTTTGCATTAATAAATAGTTTCCAAACTCAAACTGGAAATACTTTTGTAAAATATTGTGTTAACTATTGTACAAATGATACTTTCTGCCTTTTAAAATTCCTGTTTCAACACCTTGGTAAATGTAGCAAATATAGATTTAATTATGCAGAGGCTTCAACTGCAGTGCCACTGAGCACTCAAAATCCAAAGAAAGCAGTCCTGCTTGAAATGCATGCAAATCAATTCATTGATCTGAAGTGAGTTGTGCTTTAATTTAAAACTTAGCTTGCCAACTTGGTAAAATCTAACTTTCTGAAGCAAATCCACCACTGTGTGGATAATTTGAACTGTTTCTTGAAACATACATTGTTTTAAAACTATTGTCTTAGAGAAAATTAGCATGATAGAGCCAAAACTAATCTGAGTGCAAGATATAGGCACAAAATATTTCTATTTCCACTGAAAAGTAAATCCTACTAAGTTGGATAACTGTTATACTTCAAATAAATATGCATAGAATTGTAGGCCTATGATGATTAGAAAATACCGTAATGGCTGATGGATTTGGGAGACTTCAGATGAAGAATAATACTGTGTGTCGAGACCAATGAACCCCCCCTCAACAATGCTTTAAAATATTAGACAAGAAGAATGGAATTATGATGAATCAAGTTATCATCCCAGTAAAAGACTGGTGTACATTGATCTCTGTGTGCAGTTAATGACAGTGCTTTAAAAAAACCACAGAGAATTAGATAATCAGAGAATCAGTAATGATGTTAGGTGCCTTTTATCACATTAAATTACATTTGAATTGAATCAAATTTATTTTTTGTTCTAATGTTTGTTCTGGTCCTGCCAATTTTTGGAATATTACCATAGACAGGTGCTAAAACATGAAGTTATGGTTCCCCAAAATTGTACATCATTGTTTTAAATGCTTTTAAATGTATTTATCACAGATCATTTCTAGCTGATCTGATGTTCTCCAGATGTATTTCAATCCTTCCCCAGCCAGCATAATTATTCACCATGCTTGATGGGAATGATGGGAACTGGACTCCAATATGGTCCAAAGATTCATTCTTTGAGCAGGAGTTTGGACCAAAAGATCTCCTCTTCCAACATTTTAATTCAATGCCTTGAGGATATCAGAATTAATAAAATATCTGACACCACCAGGGATTCAAATTGTTTGGAGTCCCTGGAATAGCTAAACGTTTTAAGAAAATTTCCTTTTGGAGTCATGATCGGTCTATCAGTCTATCAATCATAGACTTTTTATAGTAGCATTACATATTTTTTAAAAAGAATTTAAATTGCAGTGATGGGGAAAAGGGCATTAAGACTAAAAGGTGGTCAAAAGGGTATCTAATTCTTATGTATCATGCTGAGAGACAGAACATAAGAAATGCCCTGCTAGATCAGATCACTGATCTAGCAGTCTGTTTTGACAGTGGCCTAATCAAATCAAATATCTTTATTGCAGTCTTTGGCCAGCCTTTATAATAAAAGAGTAC